ACATATGATTGCCTAGCATGAGAACAGATATTAAATGGTGTACAGAAGGACGAGGAGTTGCCTCTTGTTCTTAGATAGAGAGAGAAGGCTTTTACCTAATTAGAAACATCTGTTCTCCTCCAGTCATCACTTTCATCTGAATATTCACCTCGACATCTCATTTTATCATCAACCTTGCGTGGTACCTTCGTACCCCGCATTATACTTGATAGCTCCTGTATTGAACAGGAAGTACTTTTCTCCATCTTATCTGCAAGTATCTCAGTCTGCTCTGCAATTCCTAACCCAATAAGTTTGTTTCTCAACAAGTTACAGGTTTCAGTATAAGGTGGTAATCCTTCATCAACCATCATTTCAAAATATTTACATGCCTCCTGAAGATTGTGTTTCTTCTTGCATAGACCATGGACCATTACAGCATAAGTTGAGACTGGAGGATAAAATCCTCTCTGATCCATACTCTCCCAAACCTTTTGAACTCTATCCAGTCTTCCCACTCTGATAAGCATTTTTAGCACCATATTGTAGGTATGCCTATCCAGCTGGCACCCATAATCATCCATTCTTGAAATCAGCTTAAGTGCTCTATTCACTTCATTGTGATCACAATGAAAAGCTAGAATAGCATTGTAACTCCAGACGTCTGGCATCACTCCCCTCTCTACCATTTCGTCCAGAAGTAGGTATGCTTCCTCCACATTATTATTCTTACAAAGCTTCTTAATAATACAATTATAAGTATACACATTTGGCACAAGATTGTACCTTTTCATCCTATCCAGAACTCTAAAAGCTGAATGCATATCATTTACTTCAACAAAAGCATGAATGAAGATTGAATAACTAAAAGCATCAGGCACAAATCCCTTCGACCTCAGCTCACTGAACAACTTATATGCCTCATCCACTTTCCCTCCCTTACACAAAGACTCCAAAATACTATTATAAGCAAGTAAATCAATTTCAGATCCTCTACCAAGCAATTCATCAAACAATTTGCTGGCATTGCCCAACTCCCCAATCTCACCCCACCCTCTGATTAAAATACTGTAACTTTTTGCAGTTGGAGTGAAATCGTCCTTAACCTTATCAAAAAATTCCTGGGCATGTCTAACATGCTTTTTTTTGCAAAGCAGATAAATAAGCTGATCAAGGTCATTAACAGTCGGGGTAATCCCAAAATCAAGCATTTTATTAAAAGCCCTGATAGCTTCAGCTGGCAAATTAGCTCTACTATAAGCCCTGAAGACAATCCAGAAAATTTCTGAGCTGATCTCAAATTTTCGAGTATCCCTCATCTCGACAAGAAAATCCCATGTTAATGGAAACTGTTTACTACTGCCTAAAATATCAACTAAAATATGATGGCTATCTTTACTATGCTGAAAACCCGGTAATTCCCTTGCCCAGAGGAAGAACCTGTGAGCTGAAAAGCTCAGATTTTTACACCGTTTAAGGACTTGTTCGACTAAGTTGGTTGACATTTTGGAGGAAAATGGATGAAGGACTGATTGAATATCGTGGTGGGGGCTTCTGTAGTCGCTGAGAATTCGAGAAAGCTCGTTCACAAGGTCCGGGGATGGTGGGTCCTTGTCACAGAAAGATGAAAAGGGTCTAAAGGAATGGGCTTTCTTGAGTAACGATTGGAGTATATCTTTTGTGGTCTTGGCGCGAGAAGAGACGAATGTGATCGCCATTTTCCGTTTCTAGATATAAACTGAAACTTGAAGAATCAGCGGAGTATACATATATGTAATGATATCTCTTGTATCTCAGCTAACAACGCCGTTCGGGGAATAGCTGCAAGAGCAACTCTGCAACTCTGGTCTGGAATAGCGCACGTTAACTGGAGACGATACGAAAATTACGAAAATTTGCATTCGGATCCTCTATGGTATGGGCTAATATGTTTATTCTCATGAAGTTCTGCAATTTGACATTTTAGTCCTCTAGACAATTGACCTTTCTGTTCTCCATCCGATTAATTGGGAAAAAAAATTCCAAAAGTTGACGTACACGTAAATAGAGGAAGTAATTAAAAGAATGTATAAACTTTGTAGTATTTGGCCTTAAAAAAAAAAAACTTTGCAGTGTTTGTATGCTCAACAATAAACAGAATCTTTGAGAACAAGGCTACATTACTTACAAACAGAAAAAAAGGCCAACGCTGTAGTCCCTGGACACTTCACCTATCCTCCATTTTAAGTTTTCATTTTCACAATGTGTATAATCTTATTTTCCTATCGTTTCAGAAAAAAAAAAGAGAGTATAATCTTATTGCTTTCAAAGAGAAACGGAAAAATCTCTACTACTTGATTTAGAGTTATTTTTACTAATATTTTCTTTTCAAAAAATTTATAAGGTTCCAAATTCATATTTGTTTTTTGTCATTTGTCACTTATCTACTCTACTATTATTCTTACTCCTATTCTTACTCTAAAATAATCTAGGAGAACTGGACCTACAGGGAACCGACGAGAATTGAACCATCATCTGAAGGTCCAACTGGACCTACAGGGGAATCGATAAGAATTGAACTACCATTAGATAAGATAGCTGTACTACATACCCGTATGGATTTGAAGAAATCACACGCAAATGGTGGGGAATCGATAAGAATTGAACTACCATTAGATAAGATAGGTGTACTACATACCCGTATGGATTTGAAGAAATCACACGCAAATGATGGGAGACAAGATTTAAACCTATGATCTCTCACCTCACTAAAACTTCAAGTCTTTGGCGTTAGCCAACAGCTTTGGGCTGTTGGTTCCAAGTTCAATAATGTTGTGGAATTTAGGATCATGGTCCTCATGTGCAATGTGACTACACACGCACAGTGAAGGTGGGCCAAACATATAATTACTTTTTCCTTTTTCTATGAGATGCTCTCTTTTTGTTAAGAGAAAAAATTTGGATGAATATGATTCCGATCACTATTACAAATTAGAATATATTTTAGTCTATAGGTTGCTTACAGAATTTTTTACAAATTATTCACCAATACAGAGTGAAAGTTTTTTTTTTGATATCGCCCACTAACTCAACTCATCAACGCAACCTTCCCTTCCACAAATTCAGTCTTTCTCATTAATTGGACCCTTTTTGTAAAGCGAATAAGAGTGGAGTGCTGACATGGTGCGGAGGGGGGCAAGGCATTGAGCACTTTGGCACACAATCTAAATTTCATTTGCTAGCTCACAGAAGTGGCAGCCACCAAATACAGACAAGAGCAGTAAAACAAAAGGAGATTGGATGCCTACTGTCTAAAATTCCTAATTAAATAACAGGAATTGTTTAGTAGACCCATATTAATAGGACTTTCGTCTGGCATTTGTGAAGAGCTTTCTTCTCATTCAAATCTCACCTTCAAACTCCTATAGACAATTAAAGACATTGCTCCATCAGTCATATGATCACAATCCCTTTCTCTCCTACCTCAGACTCCTCTTTCCTACATACTTATTCAGGGAAGGCCCCAACAAAAGTTTTGGGAGAAATTTGTAGTTCATTCACCATTGAAGGTACCTAGCTGTCATTTCCTTTCAATTAAAGTTCAAGCTGTTTTCTATTTTTGTCCTCTTGATGTACTTGTATGTTAATTGACTTGCTCATTTTGGTTGAAATAACATGTGCATTTTATTCCTTAGAAATATATGATGTTACAACCATAAAGGAGTGTTTTCTATTCGTGCTTTTATGCCAATTCTTCCATAAAATGTCTTCACCTGAATAAATCTCTCTATCGTCAGCATAAACTACCAATCAACTAACTGATACATTGGACGTTGAGACTTGATTGAGTGGCACTCCAAGGTTTCCGATGGTGTAATAGAAGCCCCGGCCCGGATCTGAATTTTAAGCTGTAGATTACAGGGGATCACTATGTCAATATGATGCTTAATGTTTGCGTTCATTACTAAGTAAAGAAATAAACCAATAACAGTAATGGCAGTGAAAAATTACTTAAGTCGCAACATTTTCTATTTGGATTGGGGGATTTGACAATGGGTTCAAGATTCTCTCAAATCCCTCTAATTATTTAGATTATTTATGGGATATTTGACAAATAGACCGATTTGAGTTTCACCAAATTCTTCAATCCAAACAAAGACAACTTCTTTCTTTTTTTCCGTAGGTAGAACCTTTGTTTTTAAACTCGGACTGGACTGGCCGGTCCGATCGATCGAACCGAAAACCGGCCAAATGTCCAATCCGAATTAACTCTAAAAATCGAAAAATTAAAAATTCCATAAAAAATCGGGTTTAACCGGAAAAAGAACCGGGTTTCTTTTTTTTCTTTTTACTTTTTTTTGAAAGGTCAAAATATTTTTAATATTATGTTTTGACCCCTAAGTTGTTAAAAATTATTAGTATATCTCAAATATTTCATACTTTATAAATATTGTCTTAAAGTTTGGTGTTATTTTTCCATTAAGTCCATAATTTTAATTCTAAACTTGTTAATGCTCATTAAATAATATAAATTGCTACTTGATTGTTCTAATTTCTTGTTAAATATATTTGAAACATCAAATATATATTAATATACCTTTATTAATATTAATATGTTATTAGGTATTTTATATATAATATTTTAATTTTTAAATAATTTTTATTTATGACATCATCCGATTCAACTCCGATCGAACCCGATTGAACCCATTGATCCCTGAACTCGATCAAGTCGATACTCGGTCTCAATGCATCGACTTCAAAACACGCTTCAGAGTTTGACAATTCAAGATTATCAATCTTACTTGTGCACTTTGGACGATATTGGTGGTACATAAACTTGTGCCACGTTAAAGTTACTCTGTGAAGTAAAAAGAAGCAAAACAAAAGTCAAAAAGTAAGGCTCGTAGCAACTAGCTAGCCAAATTTCCAAACATGAAAACGATCCATAGAGCCACTAAAAACTGATTCCTCAAGATAATAGAACTTCCAAGGATAGGAGACTCTTTCAGAAGGAGAGGAGATACAATTTGTGGTTGCAAGAAACTCTAAAGCAGTCCGTGCTACAACTTGTTTGGATGGAGCTTCCTTTAAGCTACGCCAGCCGAACACGGAGACAACCTCTGCTGATGTAGAAATCCATCTTTTGTATCATCAAAAGCTTTTCTTCTTTGCTTTAGAACATAGATTTTTTTGGAACCCTTTAGTTGGAGCCAACTTTTATGCCGTATACTAAGTTCTTGATTACTAGTTATCTGAGGCAAATAATGTTTGAAGGAAGGGAGTGGTTTCCCCTTGGTGTTGAATTAGAGCTGTGGTGTTGAATTAGAGCTGTGTTTAAAGCTGGCTAATGCTCCCAGTGCTGATGCGATGTATTCCACCAGTTGCCTGAAGGCTTGATTGTTGGTATATCGATCCGTCCAGCATCGATTACCAGTTGAAACTGCTATCAACGAGTTCGGGTAATGTTTCCGTTTAGTTTTCGCTTTCTGAGCAGTAGCTCAGGTAATTGATTGAATCATTTAGTCGATAAACCTTATATATTAATCTCAAGTACAATATCCTTTCGGTCTCAATAGTTATACATTCTTTGCGTATAAACAGCAAGAAACTCACCCTTTATTTTTATTTTTTTTTTCGAGGAGGCAAGAAAGTTACTTTCAACAACATATAGGCTTTTTTCTCAACAACCTATAGTATTGTTTTAGGCCTTTTTCTCAACAACATATAGCTTACTTGCAAACTTATACTCGAAAAACGTAGTATAGTTTTATTCCTTTTCTAGGTTAGAGTATGTCTAAAATGTTAGGTTACTAGATACTTTTTTTATCATATAGGCCTACTATAGTGTATGAGTATTGTAATCGAAAATTAATCGGCCACTCAACCATGCACTCATTATTAGAAAATATCAATTTACATTTTGAGAGTATTAATATTATACTTTTGAATATTCATTCTTTGGTTTTTGATATAATGCCCTTTTTTGCACTTGGTTTTTTATTTAATGCCCTTTTTCCGCATTTAATGAATTAAAAGAAACATTGGAACCCTTGGTTTAATCCCCATTCCGGCCAGGCCAGTCTGGCCGGTCTAACCAAGAAGGCAAAAACTTGAGTAGACTTGATCTTGTAGAGCATGTGACCCAAATTTTATCGTATTTTCAATTTTTGGATTGGTAAGATGGTATGATAAAATTTGGACCTATGATCTACATAGATCGGGTCTACTCAAGTATTTTTCCTCATTGGAAAGAAGTAATTAATAATTTTGGATTAAAAAAAGGATTATAACTGGAAAATGTCAAAATGGATTGGTGAAATTGCACGAGATCAACGAACGAACGATTCAGCAGAATATTGGAGATCAGCTTCCACATCAGTAGACTTGTCAAGCCGATCTTTAGTAAGGCCAATTGGCAATGTGGCCCAAAAACTGACCAATCAGGCTCCTGAATTGGGCCACAACTCAGCCCAAACTTTTGAGTACTTATGAGGTTTTACCCAACACAGACTTGAGCTTCACATTTGCAATTCTTCAGGCTTTAAAATTTAACTAGTTTAAGCTGTCTTCCGTAGAGCATGTCATTTTGAAACTTGGGCAAATTATCCAATTGGCCCTTAAACTCTTTGTCTAAGTAAAAATAAGCCCCTCATCTATTTTTTGCTGACTTTAAGCCCTCGAACTTGTAAAATTGGACACCCGTGACCCTTTTTGCCAGTTTCTCCGGTTTTGCAACCGGAAAGTGAATTCACACGAATGCCAGTATGCTTTTAAGAAGGGCATTTTTGTCAAGCAAAAAAGGAACAACTCCTCTCTCCTCTCTCCTCATTGACTTCTCCACCGATGCCGTCTCCCTCTCCTCTCCTCTCTCCCGCAACCTCTCCCTCTCCCTCCCATTCGTCTCCTCCCCCATGGACACCATCAATGCCGACGTTTCCCAGAAGCCCTCCAATCCTTCCAAAATACCTATTCGACCTCAAAAAATCCGAAAGCTGTCATCTAACCCTACTTCCACCATTGCCACCACCCCCGTTGTTCTCACCGCCGTTAACTCCTCCTTCATGCCCACCTTGCAGACTTCCGAGGCCAAAGCCCAACAAATTACTGATTCTTCCTTCTCCCCTTCTGCCATACCTATTCCGACCACTGCTTCCTCCTCCTCTACCACCACCACTACCATCACCTCCACCTTCGCATTGACCAGCACTGCTGTTACTTCCACCACAGTTTCCACACCCACGGCATCTATGCCCAAGAATCGGAGGCGTAGTGCTGTCCAATCAGCTAGGGTTCTGCCCTAGATCATCAAACCCCTGTCGGCCGAGGGTGAAATCAATGCCGCTCTCCACCACCTCCGTGTTGTTGACCCTTTACTTGCTACCCTGATCGATACCCACCAGCCTCCGGCATTTGAGTCTCACCACTCCCCATTCCTTGCCCTCACCAAGAGCATTCTCTATCAGCAACTCGCCTACAAAGCAGACACCTCAATCTACAATCGCTTTGTAGCGCTCTGCGGTGGCGAGACTGCCAAAAATGCCGATGGCTTGCTTTGCTTCCTCCTTCTTTGCCTGGGCTGTTTCCCTGATCACCTTTCCTTCCTCCGAATCCATCAACCCCCTAACTCGCTTCTCGATTTTAGCCGCTTTCACGAACCCACCTTCCGTACTTTCATCCATTGGTAAGGCCAACTTCATCTCCTCAACTAAGAACAGCCTATTCAGCTTCTGCTCAGCATAAAGCGGCCACCACACCATAGGCACACCCGCACAGACTGCTTCCAACACTGATTTCCACCCACAGTGGGTCACAAACCCACCCACCGACCCATGATTCAACACATTCACCTGCGGTGCCCAAGAACTCACCACGAAACCCCTACCCTTTGTCCGGTCCAAAAACCCGTGAGGAAGCAACAAATCCAGATCTGGGGCGGGTGGAGTTTGAAAGCGGCTGGTTTTGTCCTCAGAAGGCGGACTGCGCACCACCCACAGGAACTTTTGCTCGCTCCTCTCCAACCCGATGGCTATCTCTTTCAGTTTTTACGCGAGTTTTGAATCTTTTGACAAAAATGCCCTTCTTAAAAGCATACTGGCATTCGTGTGAATTCACTTTCCGGTTGCAAAACCGGAGAAACTGGCAAAAAGGGTCACGGGTGTCCAATTTTACAAGTTCGAGGGCTTAAAGTCAACAAAAAATAGATGAGGGGCTTTATTTTACTTAAACAAATAGTTTAAGGGCCAATTGGATAATTTGCCCTTGAAACTTTGACATGGACGGACGAAACAAACCATTGGATGCCTTAATCGGGGCTAAAGATTGGCTTTAGATTTATCAGATCTTTATTATGTAATGACTACCAGACCTGACTTCAGCCTAACTCGAACTGATGGGAAGTCCGTCCCTTTTAAGTGGATTGTGGTATGGGTAGAATTGTTATCTGAGTTGAGTTGAATTTTAAGTAGTACTTGAACTCTACTCAAATAAAAATGTTAGAGTTCAAGCTTGTTGAGTTCTTCAATGTTGACCTTGAGTTCGAGCTCAATCGAGTTTAAACAAGTTTTAATATTGATTTTTTATAAAATAAATTTCATAATTTTACAATAAATAATTAAAAATTATATCATAAATACGCTACTTGATAAGGTTCGATGAGTACTTGAGTATTGATTTTTTCTACTCAAAATCGACTCCACTACCTTATCAAGTAAATCGAACTCGGTCAACGTTGAGTTCAAGTCGAATTTTTAATTGAACTACTCGCGAGTCTGAATTGAGTAACTTGATTAATGATACCCTAGTCGCAAAATCGACTTGAAGCTGGCTTTGCCCGATTAAGGTCCTATACTCGCATACAAGGAGACCAATTTTATGGATACTATTTCTTCTCCAAAAAAAAAAAGGAATTCTAACAAACTTGCCAATTTGCCATAGAAAATATTAGAACAATACTTTGACCGAGTGGATGCTAGTTTATTCTTATGGGAACATACTCCCTTTGCGCTTCAATGAGACCAAATAACCTCCATTTTTTTTTCTTTTTTTTTTTGTGGAGCTTTTCCTAGTTGTCTTAGTCGGATGTAGTACTCCTTAAAAGTTGAGCTTGTAAAACATTCTTGATAAAAATACTCGGCCAAAATGAACCAAGATGAAACTCGACATGTGGAGTCGAATAAATAATACTCCTATATGATGATTGTTTTGGCATGGCAATCAGTCTGAGTAGTTCCTCCACCGGATAAATGAAATGGCTGATGAAACTTTTACCCGGAAAGACTGACATGAGTATCTAGACAGGTTTCTTCTCCTCCAGGTTTGATCCCACAACCAAATCCAAAGAAATCCGTACCCTTTGTCGTGCAACAATATATTGTCACTATCAATCCATTTTTGCATTTGACAAGAGTTCCAAAAACCACAGATCATAACCCCAGGCAACAATAACACCAAATCTATACAAGTCCACCACATGAACATGGAATATATGTGGTAAACTTTAGAACTGAATAATCAGGAGCATGTTTTATTTAATTGCTAGTTTTTTACCTGTTTGTTCCAGTGACAATTTGATAGATTTTAGGCCAACTTTGTGGCTTGTGTGTTTTATAAACTAGCCTACCTTCCGGACTGCGAAACATCTCGGGTTCTTAACTAAGAATGGTCAAGAGGTTCAATATATCAAGAGAATCTACTCGTTGAACAGTTGAGTTCTAAAACTCAAGCCCATACTTTTTGGATACACAAATTTTTTTTGAGTACTATTTTACTTGCATCATAAATTGTACAATTCACTTGAGTCACGAGCTACATGTCCAATTCTCTATTTGTTTATTGGGGATTGCAGAATTATTCAGCAGGATACTCCCAAAACCATCCCTTTCCTCTTCCTGGAAAACAATTTCTTTTTCTTCTTCCTCGATTAAACAATCATTTCGTGTGGTCAGAATCCTGAGACTTTGTCCAATTATGCAAGAAGTGGAACTAGGGAAGGCAGTTCCACCTGCCTATAAAAACAAAGATGCAGCAATTCACCTCTCAACCTTGCCTTCTTCTTCAACTTCCTACACTCCCATGGGGTCTTACTCAGGTCAGAACATCATCATACATCTATACAACTTCTTTTCCAAAATTGATTTCAAGAATTGATTTTTATTTTGTTCAGTAGCATAAATTTCATTTCTTGATCAAAAATCTTTTACCCTTTTGACTTATAGGGCTAGATGAGGCTGAGCAACGCTTGCTAGTGGTGGATGTGAATGAGAATGAACATGGAAGCGGGAATGAATCATCAGATGCTAAAATTCAGATAAGGGAACTGTCAAAAGTTTCAGACAAGAGTGTTCCAATCCTGAACAAAGTCAACGCTGATATTCCTAGAGGCGTGATCATGGGAGTCATAGGGCCTAGTGGCAGTGGAAAGTCTACATTTTTAAGGGCTCTCAACAGATTATGGGAGCCTCCATCCAAGACTGTTTTTTTGGATGGTCAAGACATTGGTGACCTCGATGTACTTGCTCTTCGTAGAAGAGTTGGCATGCTTTTCCAGCTTCCTGCTCTGTTTGAAGGTGAATTCAAATCATAGCACTAATTCATGAGCTAGCTGATTGTGTAGAGATAGGCACTGCTTTATCTTGGAAATTGAGTTGATATGTTGATCAACTCAAAAAAAAAAATTTGAGTTGATATGTTGATCAAACAAACTAATGTCTGTTTATTGAGTAGATATGCTTCCTAGGAAATGAGATTAGTACTTAATTCCGTTCTCCCAAATTGTGATTTTTTTTTGCCTTCCTCGCAGCTGAATATGCATATAGACGATGTTCTGCATCTCCTGTATTTTTTGTTATAAGGATCTTAGAGGAGTGTCACAATCTGAAAGAGGTCTTTCCCCTACTGCCTGCTAAGTCACTCTGCCCCATTGAAGGCTATGAACTTTTGATACTATTACTACTGTCTGTCGTGCTTCATTAGATTTATGTGGTTGAATCATCAAATTGTGATATCCGCTTACATGTCAAGGATGGTCCCTGTGTCATTCATTGCCTAAGCAGCTGATTGATATAAGTATATAACCATCATCTGAGCCTGGGGTATCTAGGCTAAAAAACAGCCAAAGAGAACTAGTGAGACACCATGTTCTAAGTTTTGTAGAAATAGATTTTTTGATATCATAATGTGGTTTGATGATAAATAGATTGATTGACTGATTGATCTCGTTACCTACTGTGGACTTGTGCAGGCACAGTGGCTGACAATATAAGATATGGGCCGCAGCTAAAGGGGAAGAAGCTGACTGACAATGAGGTTTATAAGTTGCTTACTCTTGCAGACCTGGATTCTACTTTCTTCAGTAAATCTGGTGGAGAGTTATCTGTTGGTCAAGCTCAAAGAGTCGCTCTTGCTCGTACCTTAGCTAATGAGCCAGAGGTAAGATTCATATGCGACTGCAGGACTCCAATAGTTGTATGTCTAGGAAATTCTCTTTTTATGGAGTCTGTGGAGTTCCAACATTTAACATTGCGTTTCCCTTTACAATTTAGGTTTTACTACTTGATGAGCCGACTAGTGCCTTGGATCCAATTTCAACACAGAACATAGAAGATGTTCTTGTAAAATTGAAGAAGGAAAAGGGGATGACTATAGTTATGGTCTCTCACAGTATCAAACAAATCCAGAGGATTGCTGATGTAGTTTGCCTTCTTGTCGGTGGTGAGATTGTTGAAATCTTAAAACCTGATAAACTATCTGAAGCTAAGCATCCTATGGCATTAAGGTTTCTTGAATTGAGCAATTAGCTTCTGCAATAGGGAAAAGCATAATGACTTGACTTAATATATGTGAAGTTAATTACCAGTGCTTTTTATGTTTTTTTTTTTGTACCCGTCTCATTGTTTTCAGCTTTCCTGTGCTTTTGCAAGTGTATTATATTAAATTCTTGTGATGTTTGAAGCTCAGAATTCTTATACCAAATTACATTTATCCGCTGGACTTTGTAAGCCTATAAATGCCCCTAAAGCAGCTCAAGTATGATGATTAGCTTTCGATTGGCAAAGAATGTTCACGGTGCCTTTAGATTTACTCTGGATGTGAATATATATGTTCGTTCAACCTGTTTAAATTTCTTTCTTGTTCTAAAAAGGAAATGATTTGGAAACGATTGTTGTTAAGACCGCGTTTATAATACAAGCTTTCCTGTGCCATTTATCATCCAGGCCAAAATTTCCAGAGTGAGAGTTTCTTTCTTGAGCTCGTAATAACTCTCTGCAAACTGCTTTTAAGTCAACTAGTATGTTGCAGTTCTCTGCGAGAACGGGTTAGTACAGAAAGATTTGCTGCGCGGTTTGGAGCTTGCAAATTATGAGATTTCACATTTTAGATGGATCTCGTATAAACCAATGCAAATTCTACTTTGAAAACCATTTCTAGTTTATCCCAAAACACTGGAGCAGAACTAAAGTTGCAAACTGTTTAGCTAAACTATCCCTTGTCAAATTGTGGCAACAAGCCACAGAACAAATGAAATAATCGTCAAGCTAGCCCCATGGCTGAGCCGCAGATTCGTGCCTGCACCATGAGCAGCATCTACAAGTGGTGCATCTGCAGCTGGAGTAGGACCCGGCATCAGCGGGGAGGCGGTGGGAGGCTTGTTGGGGCAGGTATAGCTGGGGATATGGTCGAGGATGAGGTGGGAGACTTCGCCGGGGGCATCAGCGGAGGGGGAGACGGTGCTGGAGTAGGGGACTGAGGTGAGCTAGTGCCGGTACAGGTGCAGGCAAATGCGATTGGGAGGAGGGGAAGAGAGTTTTAAGGTGGAATTGTCAACGGGATTATCACAGTGCTAATCTGCGAGACACAGACGTCGTGTGGCTGGACAGCAATGGACTTAACCAAATTGGCACCAAAGTGTAGCACCTTTGGCAGCGGAACAAATCACAACACTTCCAGTGCCCGTGTCTGTCGCATTTAGAAAACCTGGTTGGCCAGTGGCAACTCCACTGGCTTGAAAAAGAGTTGTGAGAATTACAGTTTTGTTTTGTAAATGCTGGAGCTTTCGTACATCGTAAAAATCAAGAATTACATGTACGCTCATGATGGCCTTGAGTACGCCTGCTGGTTTTCCTGATAGCGGGGACATGCCTCCATTATCTTTTTTTCTTTTTTGGGGTCGAAGCGATAAATTGTATTGCTTATGTCAAATGTATGCACAATCTTAGCATCTACAAAAGTTTGCCAAAAGTATGTACGATCTGTGTAGCACATGCCTCCATTATCAACCGCTAAGATAGTGACTGTTTGGCGTGAATTTATGGTGTTTGCTACTCGGGTTTGAGTGATATAGTTAGTTAATGTGTTTGAAATGTTTATAACATTTGTTTAACCGGGGTCATATTTCACTCGTGTCATATTTTTTAAAATATAAAATTAATTAGGGAAAGTAAATAAATACAAGGGAGAGTATGTAAAGTTAAATAGAGAAAGTACGTTGATGTAAGACAGAATAATAATTGTTAGCATGTGTATATATATAATAGGTTTAGTTAAATATTAAATGTGTCAACGGTTGCCCGAACCCGTTAGAAAAACCCACGTTTATATTGGCTAAGAAGTTGAGTGATGTTAATATGAATCAGCACTGTAGAAGAGAAGAGAGAAAGAGAACAGAAACTGGTATTTGAAACGCATTATGTCAATTTCTCAATGACAAATAGCAAGATTTGCAACAAGCATTGGAGAAGAAGGTAAAGGATAAGATTTTACATCCAAATTGGGTATAGACTACAACCGAAAAACTGCTTATAGGAGTAATGTTCTTTCCGCCTAATTTGGTGGAGAATTGTGGCTTCAAATCATCTGTTTTCCGGATTTTGACTCTGTCCCATCTGTCCCGTTTTTACTTAAGTGCCACGTGTATTGTCCTACTGACTTATCCCCCAATTGCAGGACTTATCTACAATAAAATTCTAAAAGTTATTAATCAGTATAATAGAATTCTAAAAGTTATTAATCAATACACATGACAATTAAACAGGGAGGGGACAAACGGGACAAAAACGAAATCCCAAACAGAAGATTCCAAGCAGGGGGGAGAAGAGAGAGTGTGTGTATGTGCTTGCATTTTGTTTGACATCGTAATAATATTGTACAAATTCTTTTGTTTTGTATAGGTAACATATTAAAATTTGGGATATGATGGAGCTCTTTCTCCAAAAGGATGAGATAAATGAAAGAGGAGAAAAGAGCGTGATATCTATGAACTGGCAACAAAAGAGAGTATATTGATACCCAGTTGATATCTATCGATCTATGGAAGGAATAGACAGCAGCAGTTTAATGAAATTCTGTAATTTGTTTGACCTGCATGGGCTTGAGGCCATGCCTCAAGGCAGCTTTCCACACAACATCAATCTGATCAACATCGATAGCTCCCACCTCATGGTGTTTCCAACCTTCAAGAAAATGAACCACCCCACCGGCATGGCAAGCATGAACTACACCTCTTTCCATTGTGTACTGGAGCAGTATGGAGAAGAGTGTTAGTAGACACAAACAAGAAACAAACCAAACTCATTGCATGTTATTATTCATTTAAATGGTTCATTAGCGTTTTCCTACAAATGCTAATACCTTTAAGTCAACTGTTGTTAATCTCCGAATGATCGATCGAAAAAGACGATCTATGACATTGAGGCGTAGCCAACTAACATGCAGGAAATAAATAAGTTGATCATGCTAATGAATGAAACCATATTTCCACCCCCCTTCCCCTTCCCCCCCCCCAAAACAAAAATCTTCAATAGACTTTCATCCTGAACTTGTTTTCTTGGTGTAATCCCTGTTTTTCTAAGATAATAACGAGACTGAAAGGTGATAAAGTCAACTCTACCTCGCATGATCCAAGGCCCTCTACATCTTCTGGAAGTCTCATTGCTGCTAACTTCCCGAAAGTACAATCCCTGCGGAAAGGAATGACGGGGGGAACCACATACTGATGAAAATGTGTCCCTGATGGCGCCCAACTTTGTTCCCGAGGAGTAGTCCACTTTCCAATAATCCATGTCTAGTGATTCAAAAAATAAAAAGGTGATTAGTTATTGTGAAGCATCGTGAATTTCAGGATTACACCATCAAAGTCAATGACCATGCTAAAAATACAGTAAGTAGGAAAAGTTGGCACTAGACAGCACAAAAAGAAAGCCATCTCCCCCTTCAAACAGTATTGATCAGATAACATCTTGATTGTCCAGTGGTTTACTTAAGGACATGCAATTCTTCGTCCGACTTGACAAATTCAAACCAAGGATCCTGAATGACCAGATTGTACAAGAGGGAAATTAAGAAGGCCGCATAGAAGGAGATGCATGGAAGGACATTTTCAGACACGAGTGATGCTGTTCATGCTCTGTTATAAGATTGGTTTTCCTTATGCTTCGGGTCTCTATACAAGTTGGAGTTCTAAACAATCTTCACCGAGATAAGCACATAGATTAGTAAGCAAAATCTGGTCAAGTTATGTTTCTTAAAGAGGATTTGGCATCCTCCAAATTGTCTTTGTCACTTTCACAAATAAAATTCTATACTAGTATATATGCAGAATTAATCCATGTAAGTTAACAATAACTGTTACCTTGCACTGCTTAGCTGCTTGATACTTGGTTACTTGAACAAGAAACTTTTGGAGTTCCTCGGGAGCTTCCTTTTGGATTTTTAGGAATCTCTCCGTGGATTGTGTAAGCATCTGCATATGTATAAGGACCTTACCAAAAATGGAAAAATAATGAAAAGGGCAATCTTTGTTGGATTTAAAAAGGGAATAAAAAGGCAAATGTCTATCATAATAGCAGCAACATGCCATCATTGTGTTGATAACAAAATAGTACATTGTACATTCTGTTCACGAGAATTTTGCCTTAAAGATTTTATAGATTTCAGCCTTTCTTCGGCTAGCTGAACTGGTATTTGTATGTGGCAGCAGCATGTTGTTCTTGTAGCAAAGACATTTCAAAGGGAAACCGCAAATGAATCTAAAACTCCACTCATATCCCAACTGTTAGTAGGTGACTAGGTGTCAAGCAGCTCTTACCAGAACCCTGACCCTTCGACGAGCCAGATAGAGGGCAATGGCCCTTCCCAGTTTTGAAGTTGAACCTGTCAAGAACACCTCATCAACATCTCGAGGAATCTCGTTTAGGATCACAGCAGCAGTCAAGGTGTTTCCATGGACGACCCGAACTTTAAGATCAGGATGCTTGTTAATAAACAGCGTTCCACCTCCATTCAGACTTTCATTCTGTCAAAACATATTTCAAGAAGTGAATCTTTACCCAGTCGAATCATCAAAACTTTTCAGTAGAGATCTGTGTAAAGCATACTGAAGAACATGTTTTTTATACCTTGCAAATTTATGTACTAGTTTTGAGTTTTGACCATGGTTCTTTCCCTACAAACTTAACGGGCAGATCATTGTTCAAGAATTTATTTTGAAATTTCATCATCTAATAATTTAAGCTCAGCATTGAATAAGTAATAGCAGTTCAGCTAGAAAGATAAACAAGGTAGGATCATAACAGGAAAAGCAAAAGAAAAAGGACCGAGGCCAACCTTGTTTAGTGCGGCAAGGCTAATGACCTTGACACCAAGTCTATCCGCTCTAAGGATGGCTTCTTCGATTTGCTTGTTTATGCCGTCTGCAGCAAAAGGTAAGAAATACTGCAAAATTTAAAATCACAAATGCTTCAGATTAAATCGGTAAAACCTGATCACCTAAATCAACAGTAATATCAACTAGTTTTCTCTTAGTCCATGATACTGAAAATCTACATGAAAAATAAAAGCAGCTACAATGTCCGCTAATTTTCTCTTTCAAATAACATATTCTAGTGTTCTTTATCAAATGAATTACAAAGTTATCTATGAAACTTAACCTCCAATAATAAACTGCAGAATTTTATAGCTTGTCCAGTAAAAGAAATGTTTAGGAATGAATAAAAAGCTGTGGATACATGTCTATTAATCATGAAGGTCTGAGTTTCTACTTTTTACGACATTCTAGTAACTTGCATCAGGTTCATAGAAAGTTATCATATGTAAGAGAATACAGCAGATAAAGGAGTAAAGCAGCTACCTGGAAACCAAACCTTGGCACAACCCATGTCTGGTGCAGTCTGCCTCTGAGATTGTAAAAACTGACCAAAAATGTCTTGGACTTGGCCCACATGGCAAGCATTACTAAAAAGGTAGGAGGCCAGAAAGGAAACAGGAAGAACTTTTTGCTAAAAGGTATGGAATTGAATGATCGGAAAACAAATGGAGTGTGCAATGCAGCCATTATATCCACGACGTGGCCAAGAAAAACAAACCCTGGTGCACTTGTTTCTGTCCAGCCAAGAAAAGATAGATAAATTGAAACACAAGGTGATCAAAATTGTTAGAAGCAAAGTAACAATCACTATCATAAATGAGATGCCTGAAAGACAGCTGCTTCTGACCACTCAGGTGTGCAACTCATCATTACCATGATGATCTTTTGAGTTATTGGAGCAAGTTGAAGGAAAAAATGAAAAACTAAAACTACGTACAGAAAAAATGCCAAACTAAAATGAGGACCTTCCCCCCATAATTTACTGAACACCTACACAAAGGTATTGTCGAAATTACATAATGCTTCAGAAAGTGCAGCAAAAGTACCAAGAAGATGTTGCAGTAAGTCATTTTCGGCAGTAAAACAATGAAATCTAGAGTAATAAAGTATTGAGTTATACAATCTTAACAAGCATAACGTCTGACGGATGATAGAATCATGTAGATAAAGACTCACTTTTCCTTGAGCTTATTTCTTTGTGGAGATCCCAATAACGAGTGTTTATTGTCTTTCCCAATATATCATAAACTGGCATGAAGAGGCAGAAATTTGTTCTCATGTCCATGTGGTGTATATTATGGTATCTGCAGAGACAAACAGAAACTATATTTGTGAGTGACTTAAGTTGTAACTACTACATGTTAAAGACAGCAACTTTATTTTCTTTTTGGTTTAATTCAAATTTTTTGATATCAATAATTAGAATTTTTTGCAAGGTGTTTTAAGTTCTGCATTTACTTGGCTGAATCGTAACAGTACCACCCATCAACCTAGTAGGAAAGGAACCACTCTCATACTGTTAAATGTACGTCTCCCGATGACTAAGCTTTTGAAAGAGAGCTCTTACGTGATAAAAGAGAGAAAACAAAGTGAGCTCGAGTTGATCTTAAATTCAGATCAAAACAGCAAAATCATTTATCTGGCCTCCATTAAATATCTAAATATTTTTAAGTCCAGCAATCCAACAACGCCCAAAAAAAAATTTTGTTTTGTGACATCTATCATTAACTAAGATTCAGTTGCATGGTGCCCCTGTTATATCCTTGCATCACTGCTCTGCAAATTCCTACTTCAGAACCTTGTGCAATAAATGGCACCCAACACTACAGAACTTTTTGCTTCCTGAGCCAACATAACTGCACTTTCTACTTCACTTATTTCTGAAGAAAAACCAGATAAAGGCAAAGAACCAGATAAAGGCAAAGAACCGACAGGCAGAATTCACAAAGAGAAAAAAAAATTAAACTTGCTCAAAAAATAATACGGAAACAGGATCTTCAGGCTTACGTAGGAGTATAAACAAGATATCTGAGAAGTGGAATATTCTCAAAAAGATGATGAGGAATAACTTCCACATTGCTATGTCCCAAGCATCTGAGCATATCAAAAAGCAAAACATAACTGTACAGTATGCTTATTGATCCATAGCCGATAAAGACAGTGCCCAAGATTGGTACTCCTATAACTATACATAGTACCAGATGTTCAAGAAATGTTGCATGTCCAGCTGCACAACAAAAAAATGAAAAAGAAATCATTGGCCAATAAATCTTTTAACTTTTTAGTAGCTGATAATGTTGGTAATACTTCATTTTTTTTTACCTGTGAACGGATGTGAAACTTTAGAGCTGTGATGTAGCCAATGGTAATCTGTGAAGAGATTTGGGGAATGCAGTAATCTATGTAGCCAATAATAAACTGGCTCCGAGACCCCAATGTGGAGTGCAAGACAACAAAAAATACCCCTTCCATCCCAGAGGGGAAGATTGGTTAGAGATGGGAAGCTCCAATAGGCCAGCACAGCCACAATAGCATGAAGAATTAAGAAATTATCCCTGTCCCACCATAAAGCATAAAACTGGTTCACGAAATAATAAAGGATGGCAAATGCTAAAAAAAAAAAAAAAAATTTCTGGTGAGATTTGGACATGGGAAGGCGAAGGAGAAAGACAGTAAATTGTTTACCAATTCCATTCTGCATCAATTTGCTTAAAATCAATGCCCTCTTCAGAAATCCGGCGGGTTCGATTGAGGAAAAACATATAATCATAAGAGCTCCACAGTTGATAAAGGAGACCTCTTAGGAGGAACAAGAGTAGAATATGTAAGCACCAACTACTCCCCTCGGTGCCTTCTTCAGTTGTAGTAGTAGGATACAAGTATTTTGCAAGAAGTGCCACGTAAAACAAGTACTGTATCATCCCATAAACCAATGCACAAAATCAGTAGAGACAAAACGTTTTTCATATGGAGGAAAGTTGGAAACAGACAAAAATACACATAAACATACATACACGCGCACAGAGCAAGACATACCTTGTAATTGCCATAGTGTTCCCATGGCCAGGCAAACAGGGGAGCAGTCGTTGTCCCAGAAAAAGCAGTTCTTTTATCTGGGATTGTTATCCTTGCTTGAATCATTGTAGTAACCTTTTCTCCCTCCATTTGCGGAAACCTCCAAAGCTACTATAGCATGGAACTTTTTTTTTTTTTTTTGAGACAGAGCTCGCTGAAACTTATTTCAAAATAACTAAAATGGCTAAAAAGAAAGCAAACAATAATGACAAAAAAGAACAAACTTGGTAGGGTAATTAAAACAACATGAGAATGAAAACCACCCTTTAGTCATTTTTAGCCTTGCACTGTCACTTTTAGGCTTGACTCTTGCTCAAATTTATATGTATAGATTCCAAGGAAACAGAATACTTATAGGACTTGAAAGAAAGCAGCCTATCTAAGGATACAAAGCTTTTACCGTTCATAATCATGAAAAACTTCTGTCTATGCGTAGCAATTGCAGTTTTCAAAATCCCACCTGCTAAAAATTGACAAGTAACCAATCGTCCATTTCTAATTAAACAAATCAACTTTAATAGTTGACAGTTGTTGGTTGTGCCATCACATACAAAGAAAGGAATTAATGAGAGGTGTGTATGGTGGTGGCCAGTGACTTGCTACATTCTTGGGATTGGGGGCAGAGGGGGGGGTGGGTGGCCGGTAAATCAAGAAAGTAGTGGATTTGGATTACAGTCGAGACGTTGATGGTATGATTGTTGTAGAACAGCTCAATACTTTTCACTTACAAGTTTCTCTGATGTTGGCCCTGGCTCCAATGAAGCTTTCTTATTTGTGAGCTCATTGAGTAGTGTTGAATAACTGCAACAATGTTCATCGATTTTGTGTGGATATGTAAGCCATGAGCTTGGGCGGAAGGGAAGGTGGGGGACCAACCGAACCGAACAACTTCCAGTGCAGAGTAGCAGTGATCTTAACAGCTCTGTACCTAACTAACAGCCCATGAAGTTTGGACGCCCGAATTTGGCTTCTGTTTCTTTGCAAGTACAAGCTTTGCTAGAGTTCATACTTTGGCAAGCAAGCCCTTGATGTTGGCATCAATTTAGCAAATATATGGCTTGATTTGGAGCTGTTTCGTGTTCTTAAAAAATATGCCACTTTTATATGATAGACCTACGCTAACAACATGGAATTTCCTAAGCCTGGTCTTGAGGATTCCATGCCATCATAACTTTCTTATTGTAGCATCACAAGATTTTGAAATTCACAAGCACAATAATGTAAGTTCAAAATATTACTTGTTAATTACTACTGAAACGCTAAGACAAAATTTTAGTTTTATGTGGACGTATACAAGATGAACCCTTTATTTTATTTATAGAGAACGAAAGTACCTAAAATTTGAGGATGATAATAATAAAGTAGTAACTTTAGATTTCAAGGTGAATCGCATTACTTGTTTATATTAGAATGCAGTGAGTGGTTTAAGTATTTGCATCTCTCAAACTCACTCCATTCTCTTTTTCTTTTTCATTTTTTTCCTGGTAAGATGTTCTAAAGTTATTCAATGTTTTTGAGGAGGATAAAGGCGCCACTGGAGTGCTAGTTGATATTTGCATGTATGTACGGGTTTAAGAAACGATACAACAAAAAGTAAATTGAAAAGGGTGCTATCATCTTTCATGCACGCATCCGGTTGCCCATAATTCAAAGACACACCTACGTGGATGATTTTAGATTGAAGAAATTGTTTGGTGAACAATGGGACACTTCTTGTATGAAAAGAAATTAATGATGAATTAATCGGAAAACAAAGCTCATTAATTGGAAAACAAAAGCTAGTACGCTAATGTCACTGCGATTGATTTGTCATTTATCTGTTCAGATTGAGAGTGCAATTGTCATTCTCATTTACTTACAAGTTAACATGTTTCTCACAAACCACTGAGCTACGGCCCGGTGGCCACCGAAAATTTAATTCCTCTCTGAGCTGTAGATCAGGGATTTGAATCCTATCTAATGCAAAGAGGTGTCGAATCAATCCACCATCTTCGTTTTTGCTATGAAAATATCTCATAGTTTCAAAAAGTAAAAAGAATGGTCATAAATAGAAGAGGAAATTAATTGAGATGTTTTAGGTATCTTTTTCCTTAATAAGAAGCATTTTAAAAAGTTTTCCTAGTAATCGACAAACATATATTGTGAATTATTTTGAAATTCGATGAACGTTTAAGAGACTTGAGCGCTGTATAAAATAACTGGATAATGAAACTTTACAACCAAATGATGTAAATTTTGGAAATTTTATATGTGCTTGCATGTTTTTTTAGTTGAAAATGAATAAAACTTCTAAATTCGGTTTAAATTTGAAAAGCCACCAAAGCATTTGAACTAGAATTTGGTGATCATTAATATGTCCCTGCAGTGATTGCCCAGAATTTAATTTCCTTTTGGTTTTTACCGTATTCAAGAAAGATAAAGAATTTTTGCTTCCAAATTTGGTTGGATAAAACGAATTAATTTACCTCAACAAGCATAATAGCATGTCATAGAAATTCACAAAATCGAGGATGTCCTACTGTTCGTGTCATTTTCATCTGGGACTAGAGGACAAGTCAACAACTATCCTCGTCCCGCTTTACAAATTAATTTACTTAATTGAGAATAGAAGAGAGGACAAAGAAAAGAGAGTTAGTTGTGCAATTAGTATGTGCTTCCAAGAGATTTTGTGATACATTAATTGGGGGGTTGGTATGTGCAGTGAATCATATACACTCTACCGTTGCTATTATATGATTACAATCTATTTTTATTTTACTTGTTTAGACTCTGGTCCCGGTTTAGGTATATGGATCATACATGATCTAGACTCAAAGGTCAATTCAAATCCAAATCAAGATCAACATGGATTATACATTCCCTCTCCACTTTCAAGTTTCAAGTCCATCATAATTCACGTAATTTTCAATATTAAAACCATGTTTGATAACTCAATTTAATACTATTTACATATTATACGTCCAGACATTTTTTGTAACAAAAAATAGGACTTGATTAATTAATTGGTTCTCTATTGTTTAACAGAACTTGCTCAATACAATAATTGATAAATTGTTCACTTATTACTTAATACAAAATACTATCAAATGTTAAGATTTCAATACTTAATAATTGAATAAATTAGCGGATTTAAATATCAAGTTTCAAACTTCAGTTTTATTAGTGCTGTTAAACGAACCAAGCTGCTCGTTAGCTTGGTTCATTTAGGCTCTTTTCTGTTCGATAACTGTTCCTTCGAAATTTTATATGAGTCAAGTTCGAACAAACATTTTGGCTCGACAAGTAATCGAATGAATACAAGGCCTAGTTGTCATTTCACAAAATTTAGGGTTAGTATTGTATTCCTAATTCCTATTACAGGCTTTTCAGCCTCTGTTAGTCTCGTACATGTGTTGCTCAAACGTCTCCAGAGTTTGGATTCGAATATCTCGAGCCTGTTCGCAAATGACTCGTTTATGTTAAATGAGTCGAATTCGAATTCGAACTCGAACTCGAACTCGAATTAGGATTTTGCTTAACGAGCCGAACACGAACACTGATTTGAAACTTGAACATTATCGAACGAACACGAGATTTATTTGAGTAGTTTAACAAACAGTATTTAAACACGAGATATTCGACTTATTTACGCCTCTAAATTTTATTAAACGCACCCTAAATCTGCTAAAACAAGACCGCTTTAGCCGCAGCTTCTGGCGAATTTGCAGCAATTATTACTCACATCGGTGATTGTTCAACTTTTCATGGACAACGGGCAAAGCTTTTCATAGGTTATTTTTAATGTTAGAAAAAGGCAAAATGATAGACTTTAATTCATCCAGGGATCATAGGTTCCGGCGGCTTCACCAGATTGAACCTAATTTATTAATGGTTTTAGTTTTCTGGCATTTTCGATTTTGTTTTCAGACCATCTAATGCGACAGAGATTGAATCTTTATTCAATCCATCCAACTGGCAAATGAAACTCTGAAAACATAATTGTTGTTTGTCAGGAAGCCACGATAGTATTAAGCTAGATATCAAAGCTAGATCACAAGATCCACAACCTTTGGTTCCTTTTTCTACAGACAACATTAATAAAAAATCAGGCTCAAGACCGAACGTAAAACCAATTTAGTATCATACTCCCTCCGTCCCACTTTGATAGTCCTGATTATTTTTTCACACAGTTTAAAAAAAAAGTAGTTAACTTTATTGGAACAATCAATTTAGGTAGCTATTTTCCTAAAATACCCTCACATTAATTAGAGTATAATTTTATGGGAACTTGAATTGATAGTAAAAAAAGAATCAACTCTCATTAAATGGGGTAGGTTTATAGTAACAACAACTTACATTGAATAAGGGTATTTTAAGAAAATTAAAATACAACTACATTCTTCAATTGAAAACTGGACTACAATTTGGGATAGACGAAAAAGGAAAACAGGACTATCAAAGTGGGACGGAAGGAGTATCACCTTTCATCGTTCCGGAAACTAATGACTATTATCGTTGGATTAGCCGCCCTTGTCAAAAGTAGCCTGTAGGCTCTGTACTCGAACATTTGCTGTCCAGCATTCAAATTATCAAGGTACAATAAATTAAACTTCGAAGTGAGCTAAAGAATTGGACATCCACCTACCTTTGATTTTTTCGACCTCAATTCTCTAACGTAGAAGAGTCTATAATCAGCTACCACGTTATTAAGCCTGCAGCTACCTTGATAGTTCTCCCTTCTTAGATGCATTGTGCTTGTATCTTCTTACAAAGCTATAAAAGACCTTTTTTGTTTAAATTTTTTTGTATACGTACGTACCTCCATTGTATTTGTTACTGTTCCCAAATGCAAAGGTTGAACAAGAAGTGTGGAAAGAGCCCAAGAATTTGGCAATGAGTGACTATTTAGCCTGAATCGAACATGGTTCGTTGTGTTTAAAACAAGTTACTAACTTTATTTTTTTAAAAAAAATTATCCTTAAAAAAAAAAAGATTACCATTAGCTAAAATTTGGGATGTTAAGCCAACCCTAGTTAAGGATATCACTAGCTGCTCTCTCTTGGCTGACAATGCATGAAAGAAAAGATAAATTTGAACAAAATGACGGATTAGGCTCTCTCTTTAATATCAATGGCGGCGGATTAGGCAGCCTAAATTTGGTACAAAAGAGTATGGATTAAGGTGCAAATGAGCATCAAGATTACCATTAGAAGCCTATTCGATCAAAATTTGAGTTTGAGTTTGAAACTTAAATATCTTATAACTCAGGTAGAATGCAACTTGTTTCGATAATCGAATATCATAATTTGATACGTACGTCGCTACCAATATGTAGATGAAGATTTAAAATCAGATTATATAGTAGTACCGACAGT